AAAGTGGTGTGTTGCAACTTTAATGCAGCTTCTCTCAATTCTGCATCTGGCATAGTAGTTAATTTTGTTACATAAAATCCAAACTACTGACCATTGAAGTATTCTGGTAGATTTTCTTTTCTTTGCATTTCACCATTCCTGTAATCATGAATCCAGAATGACAAAGTAAAGTAGTATGTCTTACATTTCTGCCTGGAAGCAACACAATTTCAATGTCTGGCTCTTCAAAATTGCGATTCCCTCTTCCTTGGACCGCTGATTATCAGCCCGGTAACTGTAGTCCTTTCACCACAGTTTAGCTTTCTCTTCAAAATATTCAAAAGCATCATCATTGCGAAGTTGAGCTTACAAATTCCACTAAGCCTGCATAGAGGTTAGCACAGTAGCCATTTCATTTCAATTTTCTGAAGTGTCTTTTTCGTGGCCATTAAAACCGTTCCAGTAACATGTAACCAAAGCACGACAGAGTAAGGCCATTCAAGAATCTTCCAATTTGATGCAAAGCGGCTGCTTCGCATTCTTGTAGTTGCTGTCTGGACTTCATCCTCTGCTATTTGGATCAAAGCGAACGTATTTCAGCAAAGCTGTCTTCAAAGCATGTATTGCATCATGGCTGCGCTGACCACACTTGTTGTTGATAATTGATTTTGATACATCACCTATTGGAATGTTAGACTTGAGTATACTCTCCACCGATGCTTATGAAGCGAGAAAAAATTAAAGATAGCTTGTAAAAGTCCAAAAATTGAAAACTGGCACTGACACAACACTTCCGCAGCACATGACGCAACAAGAATTATGAAATGGTGCTGATCAGAGGCCCATATTCAGCAAGTGGGTTATTTGCTGATATGGGCTTGCAAATCCATTATATTTCCCCACATGTTACATTGGCATTGTCATAGCTCTGGCCAAGGCAAAATATTTCCCCCCCCCCCCCCAATAAACCAAAATAAGAGATCATGTTCAAAGCAGAGTAATCCAGTAACTACATTCACATTGTTTTCTCCATCATGGCCCTGAAAGAGGAATGAATTTTTATAAAGAGCGCTCTAACTGGCTTACCACTGGAGTTCGACAAACGAACAATGAATGTCAATTGATCAGTATGTTAAATATCTGGTGATGAATCTACACATATAGTGCAGAAGTATTTGGCAGTTTTATATCACAGCTGCTTATGATGTTTATTGAGGACCTTCTCTTAGACATCAGTTCAATAAATTCATTGGCATATAGTAATGACAAATGTAAATACAGTGCCTCTTCCCGCATTCCCAAGAGGGTGACACATGATTTGCAAAAATGGAATCGAAATTGTGCTAACAGTTCAATTATCCTCTAGGAAATTGCCATTGTTTTCCGAACCAAAAACCCTCTCATTTTCTCACAACGGAAAGCAAGTCCTCTTAGAGCTAAGATTTTAACAACACAACAACCTCTTTCTAGAACTTTTCTCCAAAAGTGCGCTCTTTTTCAGTTTGCATTTTCCAAACCGAGAATCCATTAAGCCTTTTTCTGTGCACGAAATACACTGGCTAAAATGCAGCTCCAGTGAGTGGTGTGCTGTTTTCATGTTCCTCGAAACGCTTGGGAATTTTTTCCAGTCTTGAACCCTGTGTGAAGGTATTTTTTCTTGGTAGAAAATAGCTTGCATGCTGAACAGTACACTTTTCCTGACTTTCAGAGTATACCATCCATGAGCTTTTTTCACAGTTTCTGAGATTTGCAAGCTTCCTAAATAAACATAGAAGACTTTAAACCATCGACAACGTTCCATCATCATAAATCCCTTTAGCTGATTTCCTAAAGTCAATGTTCAGATTTTGACTGAAGTTTTCCTCTATGAAAGCATTACGTAGAGAGTCTGGGATTACATTTTGCCATGAGGCAGGGATCTTTAAGACAAATCCTGTGGATGAAATGTCCATTGAGAAATTGAGAGGAGAACACAAAAAAGAAGTAGTGCTGGCTGAGAATAATGGAGGGAGTGCTTCCCGTAATGAATCCGACGTAAACTGCAGATTCAACCTGTACTGGTAACATCAGAAACTATTTTCGTGAGCATGTCTTTGATCTTTCTGCAGCTTCCTACATCTTGTTTTTTCTGTTCTTCTTCTTGAATTTTCTTTCTTGTTCTGTGACCACTCGCATAAGAAACGACCAACATCACGTTCACCGAGATTGGCCTTATGAGGATGTATCACTGTCTGTAATCATGCAAATACTAATTTTCATATCAATTGTTTATTAATTTTTAATATTATTAATTTTTTTTTTCTGTCAATTGGGGGGGATATGGTCCTTGTACCCCCTTTCCTCTGCTGCGCATCTAAAAATTCAAAACGTTACCAGAAAGAGTCATATACAGAACTTTTACCATAGATGTAGGTTAGTGATTTGGCTACGAATATTTTACTAATTCATGCCTTCCTTGATCTCTAATTTAACTTAAACAGAAATCATACTGAGTCCCAGAACAATGCACAATGTATTTATATACCATTTTCATACTAAACTTAATCATTATGTTTTGCATGAAATATGGCCAACCATCCATAGAGAAAAGGACATGAGAATTAAAGAATGCAGGGACAATATTCAGTTTTCACTCCAACCACGATTTTCTGATGTGGGCTTATGTGTTTCTGGGAAATATGTAGTGAAATTGATTTCTACATCACTTCCGTCGCACTTGAAAACCAAAGCATTTGCGACGGAAGTGAGCAGAACATCAATCAATTGATATCTGTAATTGAAAATAGATAAAGACTTAAAAGACAGGACAAAGTGCTTTTATAACCTACAAAACGGAAGTCAGTTTTGCCGTTTTAGGTTTTTCTTTATAGTATTTTTTTTACCAAAATGCGTCTTTACTGGTCCTGCTCTTTACTGGTCAAGTAACCTATCAGGAACCTCCCTTAACATTTAGAGTGATAAACAAACATTATCCATACACATCAGTGTCTCTCAACAACACTTCAGTTTAATTTGTCACAGTACAAGACAAGATAACGTGTACTTAACTACAGAAAATTGGAGAGGAATTCCCATACTCACCCATTATCGGGAAAACCCAGCTGATCTGATGTAAACAAAGGCATGTTTGAGTGATTGCATCTATGTTATATATTTATTTTTATTTTATTTTATTTCATTTATTTATATTTTTGTTTTGATCAATTTTAAAAATCAAATTTTACTCTCCAAACACTTTGAACCTTTTTTAGGTAGGGACCCCTTTGCACTTGCACCATGTGCACATCCTTGATGAGCCCCTGAACCCCATGGACTGCAAGGCCCCCAAATCTGCGCGGGGGCCCTAGGCAAAAGCCTATTTTTTGCCTATTGCCGTAATCCGGTGGCCCAGTCTTAAGCCACAAACTCTCTCACATACTAAGAATGCATTTTTAAAATTATTCCAACCCTCTTCAATTCAACCTTTCCCCCTCCACTACTCATACTTGCACAAGCCCACCTTTCTGGCCAGACTGCTTACTATCTCACCCTAACTTCCTCCCCTCCACATGCAGTTGCCATATTTGCTTTTGTCCCATTTTACCCTCTTACTTTAACTGTACTACACTTAAAGAATGACCCAATAAATCATTTGCCCCTCTAAAAACATGCACATCCTGAAGACTACCCATTAACCTTTTTATCCACTAATACATAATTCTAACAAACTACTTTCATCCATTGTTGCTATAAATCTATACTTTGTATACTTATTTATCCTCTTTTTCATCAAAAAATGTATTATAGTATTATACCAATCCTCTTCTACAAATAGCTCAATTAAAGGCTAGGCTGCCCCCATTTTTCATTTATACCCTGTGCACCCCGCCAAATTTTACCTACTACTCCCTCCACAAACAAGTACTCCTCACACTTGGTTTCAAAACTCCCCATGCTCTCACTCCTCAATTCCCAAAATCAGTCCCTCTCTCTCTCTCTCTCTCTCTCTTCCTCTCTCTCTCGTCTCTCTCTCCCTCTCCTCTCTCTCTCTCTCTCTCTCTCCTGTCTCTGTCTCTGACTCTGTCTGTCTCTGTCTCTCTGTCTCTGTCTCTCTGTCTCTCTTGTCTCTGTCTGTCCTCTCTGTTAGTCTCGCTGTCTCCTGTCTGTCCTCTTGTCTGACCTGTCTCTGTCCTGTCTCTCTCTGTCTGTCTCTCACTGTCTGTCTCTCTCTGTCTCTCTCTGTCTCACTTCTGTCACTCTCTGTCTCTCTCTCTTCTGTACTCTCATCTGTACTCTGTCTGTCTCTGTCTCTAACCCTCTGTCCTTGTCTCTCTCTGTCTCTGTCTCTTCTCTGTCTCTGTCCTCTCTTCTCTGTCTCTCTTCTCTCTCTGTCCTCTGCCTCTCTCTGTCTCTGTCTCTCTCTCTCTCTCTCCTCTCTCCTCTCTCTCTCTCATCTCTCTTCTCTCCTCTCTCGTCTCTCTCGGGTCTTCGCCTTCTCTCATCTCATCTCTCTCCTCTCTCTCTCTCCTCTCCACTCTCTCTCTCTCTCTCTCTCTAATAAACCCTCCTCACCCCCACTCTCCTCTACACTTCTCACTTCTCCAAGTGCATAAATGCTTACTGTAACCCACTTTTCACATCCAACCCTTATTTTACTCCACAATCCTTGAATTTATACATTTATATTCCCTCTTTTCTTCCCATAACTTATCATTCAATATTGTTGCTACTTCTTCTTTAGCTCTGACTCTATTTGAAACCTCTGACCTAATCCCATTTATTTTTTCCCACTGAAACTCTCCCAGCTTTGCTTCACTTAAAGCCAGGACATCCAGCTTCTTCTCATTCATAACATCCAGTCATCTCTTTCTTATCATTCGCACAACATCCACGCACATTCAAACATCCCGCTTTGACAGTGCAATATATCTTTTGGAAAGGATTGATATTTTAAGGGACCACTGTACATGAATTAAGTGAATGCTGAGGGAGGATTAAAGTGTAAAAGCAAGTTCAGTTTTTCAAGATTTATTCTTTTGCAGACAAGAGTTGGAAGAATGTTCAACGAGTGGAGATGCTTGTGAAGCCTTGCAGACAAGTAGTTCTCTGCTGAATTCATTGTTTGGAGATAATGCCCAGAGTCTGCCTATGCCTCTGCATGAACCTCCTCCACCACCACCAGCCACTATGAATGTTGTGGGTGTGTTTGATACTGTTCTCTATTTGGGTAAGAAACACTGACAAAAATGTTTATATTTAATTTATCATTATTTTCAGTAAATTCCAAATACAGTGGACCCTCGACACGGCGACCAGCGATGGCATCAATTAACGATAAATCTGACTAGCGATACATTTTATCGCAAAAATTTTGCCTCGATTAGCGCTAAAAAACTCGACCAACACTATTCGTTCCGTCTGAGACGCGTCCACTTCTGGCCAGTGTTTACAAGCCAGCCAGCCACCATGGTCGCTTCCAAGCATACAATCAGAACATTTCATATTATCACAGCCTTTTTAGTGATTGCACCTGCAAAATAAGTCACCAGGCCCCATGAAAGCTTCTAGTGCCAACCCTACAGCAAAAAGGGTGAGAATTACTATGGATATGAAGAAAGAGATCATTGCTAAGTATGAAAGTGGAGTGCATGTCTCCGAGCTGGCCAGGCTGTACACAAAACCCCAATCAACCATCGCTACTATTGTGGCCAAGAAAACGGCACTCAAGGAAGCTGTTCTTGCCAAAGGTGCAACTATGTTTTCGAAACTGAGATCACAAGTGATAGAAGATGTTGAGAGACTGTTATTGGTATGGATAAACGAAAAACAGATAGCAGGAGATAGCATCTCTCAAGCGATCATATGTGAAAAGGCTAGGAAGTTGCACGACGATTTAATTAGAAAAATGCCAGCAACTAGTGGTGATGTGAGTGAATTTAAGGCCAGCAAAGGTTGGTTTGAGAGATTTAAGAATTGTAGTGGCATACATAGTGTGATAAGGCATGGTGAGGCTGCCAGTTTGGACCAAAAAGCAGCTGAAAAATATGTGCAGGAATTCAAGGAGTACATAGACAGTGTTTAATGGTGACACTGACAATGTTGTGAAACACTTTAGGAATGTCATAAAGGAACGGGAGGTACAGGCCTCTATGGGCAGATATGTTGTGCGACAGAGGTCCAGTGACTCTCAAGCTGGTCCTAGTGGCATTAAAAGAAGAAGGGAAGTAACCCCGAAAAAGGACTTGCCACCTCAAGTCCTAATGGAAGGGGATTCCCCTTCTAAACACTAAGACCATCAACACACTCCCCTCTTCCCATCCCATCAATCATCACCAGATCTTCAATAAAGGTAAGTGTCATGTAACTGTGCATGTCTTCTTCAGTTTGTGTGTATTAAAATTAATATTTCATGTGTTAAAATTTTTTTTTTTTTTCAATACTTTTGGGTGTCTTGCACGGATAAATTTGATTTCCATTATTTCTTATGGGGAAAATTAACTTGACTAACGATTATTTTGACTAACGATGAGCTCTCAGGAATGGATTAATAGCGTTAGTCGAGGGTCCACTGTATTAGATTAATATATGTAATTTATCATTCTTTTCAGCAATTTTAAAAATTATTTAATATTTGAACAGTCCAGGAAGACACACATCTGGTATGACTGGCCTAGACTCTGACCTCAGGCTGAGCTTCGTGGATAGAAGAACTTTCTAAACAGGATACTAATATTGACATCCAGTATCTCCATCATATTTCACAACCATAGAATTTACAGCATTAGAATTTTCGTATCACCAGAATTTTTCTTACTCTTTTTTTGTAAGTTTACTTATGTTAAGATATGATGTAATTTGTCTAGCATGATTTTAATAGCATACAGGAGTTACAGTATTACTGGGCACTGATACCCAGGAGAAGATAGTGCAGGTGGAGGAGAGAGCGAAGGTAACACACACATCTGCTTTGATCTCAACTCTTCTACTAGATAACCATAACCAGAGCAAAGCAAAATTGCAAAAGTTGCCAAGACAAAGAACAGTCTGCCATAAAAGTTGCCAGAACAAAAAAATAATCACAAAAGTTGCCAGAACAAAGAACATTCACAAAAGTTGCCCTCTGTACTATACAGTGGACCCCCACAAAACGTTGGCATCGCATAGTGTTAAATCCGCATAGCAATACATTTTATCTCTAAAATTTTGCCTCGCATAGTGCTAAAAAATTCGCTCAACGCGATTCGTCCGAGACACGTCCATGCGGCCTGAGCCAGCCTCACTTGTTCTGCCAGTGGCATTGTTTACAAGCCAGCCTCCATGGTAACATTCAAGCATACAATCGGAACATTTCGTATTATTAAAGCTTTTAGTGCCAACCCTACAGGAATAAGGGTGAGAATTACTATGGAGATGAAGAAAGAGATCATTGCTAAGTATGAAAGTGGAGTGCGTGTCTCCGAGCTGGCCAGGTTGTATAGTAAACCCCAATCAACCATCGCTTCTATTGTGTCCAAGAGAACGGCAATCAAGGAAGCTGTTCTTGCCAAAGGTTTAACAGTGCTTTCGAAACAGAGATCGCAAGTGATAGATGTTGAGAGACTGTTATTGGTGTGGATAAACGAAAAACAGATAGCAGGCGATAGCATCTCTCAAGCGATCATAAGTGAAAAGGCTAGGAAGTTGCACGAGGATTTAATTAGAAAAATGCCTGCAACTAGTGGTGATGCGAGTGAATTTAAGGCCAGCAAAGGTTGGTTTGAGAGATTCAAGAGGCGTAGTGGCATACATAGTGTGATAAGGCATGGTGAGGCTGCCAGTTCGGACCAAAAAGCAGCTGAAAAATATGTGCATGAATTCAAGGAGTACATAGACAGTGAAGGGCTGAAACCTGAACAAGTGTTTAATTGTGACGAAACAGGCCTGTTTTGGAAGAAAATGCCAAGCAGGACCTACATTACTCAGGAGGAAAAGGCACTCCCAGAACATAAGCCTATGAAAGACAGGCTTACTCTTCTCATGTGTGCCAATGCTAGTGGTGATTGCAAAGTGAAGCCTTTATTAGTGTATCACTCTGAAACTCCCAGAGCGTTCAGGCAAAAGAATATCCTCAAGGCTAATTTGTGTGTGCTGTGGAGGGCAAACAATAAGGCATGGGTCACTAGGGACTTTTTCTATGACTGGTTACACCAAGCATTTGCCCCCACTGTGAAAAATTACCTAACTGAAATGAAACTAGACCTTAAGTGCCTCCTCTTGTTAGACAATGCCCCTGGTCATCCTACAGACGTGGCAGAGCGACTTTATGGGGACATGAGCTTCATTAAGGTGAAGTTTTTGCCTCCTAATACCACTCCTCTCCTGCAGCCCATGGACCAGCAGGTTATTGCAAACTTCAAAAAACTGTACACAAAAGCTCTGTTTGAAAGGTGCTTTGTAGTGACCTCAGAAACTCAATTGACTCTAAGAGAGTTTTGGAGAGAGCACTTTAATATCCTCAATTGTGTAAACCTTATAGGTAAGGCTTGGGAGGGAGTGACTAAGAGGACCTTGAACTCTGCTTGAAAGAAACTGTGGCCAGAATGTGTAGACCAAAGGGATTTTGAAGGATTTAAGGCTAACCCTGAGAGGAGTATGCCAATTGAGGAATCAATTGTGGCATTGGGGAAGTCCTTGGGGTTGGAGGTTAGTGGGGAGGATGTGGAAGAGTTGGTGGAGGAGGACAATGAAGAACTAACCACTGATGAGCTGCTAGATCAACTTCAACCACAAGAGGCCACACCTGAGGAAATTGCTTCAGAGGAGGGGAGAGAGAAATTGAAGAAGTTGCCTACTTCAAAGATTAAGGAAATCTGTGCAAAGTGGCTTGAAGTGCAAACCTTCATGGATGAAAATCACCCTCAGACAGCTATTGCAAGCTGTGCTGGTGACTATTACACTGACACTGTTGTGAAACACTTTAGGAAAGTCATAAAGGAACGAAAGGTACAGGCCACTGTGGACAGATATGTTGTGCGACAGAAGTCCAGTGACTCTGAAGCTGGTCCTTGTGGCATTAAAAGAAGAAGGGAAGCAACCCCGGAAAAGGACTTGATACCTCAAGTCCTAATGGAAGGGGATTCCCCTTCTGAACACTAAAACCATCCAGTCTCCCCTCCTCCCATCCCATCAATCATCACCACATCTTCAATAAAGGTAAGTGTCATGTAACTGTGCATGTTTTCTTAAGTTTGTGTGTATTAAAATTAATATTTCATGTGGTAAAATTTTTTTTTTTTCATACTTTTGGGTGTCTTGCACTGATTAATTTGATTTCCATTATTTCTTATGGGTAAAATTAATTCGCATAACGATAATTTCGCATAACATTGAGCTCTCAGGAATGGATTAATAGCGTTATGTGGGGGTCCACTGTACATTGATCACAAGGGACCATAAAGTGCCGAAAATTTTTAATTTGGCTAATTTTACACCATTTTCAACAAGTTAAAAAAAAAAGTGTCCGAAACAAGTATCCACTAAAGCAGTTTTCCTTCTGTTCATTAATCACATCCTCTTGCCCTCCATATGAGTCCATCATCACAAACAAATTGATGTTTTTTCCTGTTTGAGCTAATAATAAACCATAACCAAGAATGCTTGGTCATGGTTTAGGCCCTCCTCATAAATGAAGCACACCTTGTAGAAACCTAGAAAACAGACTGGGGGGATGATGGTTTCTCTCTCCTTACTCAGGGAAAAATTGAACTATTTCTACCACTCTGAGGCATATTTCAGACCATATTTCTATTGCACTGGTATATCTTTTAGTTTATCAGTTGATGCAAGAAAATGGCTAGCAAATCCATGAAAATCTTCCTATAAAATGCCCCAGTGGCTGTTTTAGCCTATACACAAGGTTAGAGGTTAGCTATTGCCATCATGCATTGTGTTGTGCAGGATTTTGTTTATACAAGCCGGCCCTGCTTGTACATATAGCATGTTAGGTTCCAGGCTACTGCTGTAAAGCGAAAATCTCTGTAAAGTATAAACATAGCCGTTTTTTACTTTCAAATGCATATAAAAGCCTGATAACATGTTATGCTATCGTATATTAAGTGAGCATTAGATCTAGGCCTAAAACATGCATATGCAGTACAGTACAGTTGTCCTTAGTCTGAATAAATGAAGAATGGGTTTAATTGAAAAGTGCTGCATTAGCGAAATGCCATAAAGTGGGGCCCACCTGTACTGTGCATGATCACTGCATCAACCCAGTCTCTCATGTCTGGGTCAAAATTTGCTACTTGCAGCATATTTGAGGGCACTATGATTTACACACACAGCTATGTAAACACCACTGGCCCGAATCACATAGACCTACAAGGTGTGACAGTGAAAGAGTTAGAATATAAAATTGCATAAATAAACATTGGGTAATATTCTTCAAGAAGGTGCATGTTCACTATGCTCTGTTACATGTAGCACTTATCATATCACAGCTGGTCACAAGACAACTGCCACTATAATTGTGGATTTTTTTTTATAATTTTCCTGAATGTAGGGTATGTAAATGTAATTAGATATTATGTGTGTAAATTTGTGACGCTATTTGGACTCTTCGAGAAATTTCTAGCGAAGGGGGGTGTGCAGTGGTCGAGGAGTGATACGGAGGAGAGAGACGCTAAGAATATGGAGATGTATCACTGGTTGTAAAATGGTCTTATGTAATCGGGTGTCACTGAGGTTGAAAATGGTGGTATCAGCTGGAATCAAGAATGAGAAATATGGACTCATACAGGAAAAAACAGCTATAATAAGGTATGAATGAAAAATAAGAGGACACTAAATCTTCTGGTCTGCACATCAACTGTTAAGTGCACTTTCTCTCTCAATAGTCTGCAGGGGTTGGCCAGCTTTCTGTTAGGCATTGGTTAGGGAGGTGTTGGGTGTTCTACCCACAAAATAAGTGGTCCAACTTTGTGTGAGGGTGGTTTGGAATGAGTAGGCATTGAAAGAGGAGCAGTGTTGTGACCTTCTGTACTTGAAGTCCCATCTAGCTTTGAGGTGCAACTATCATCAGTAAGTGAAATGTTAATTTTAGTTGTACCTGGCCTTAATTATATGCATGTAAGAATTCAGGTTAATGCCTGTGAACCACATGCACATAATTTCTCAAAATAATGAATTTTTTTTTTAATAGTGGTGCGTGTGTACGGTCTGTCCATAAATGCCCTACGCTGGATAATGTGCCTCAGGGTACTGGCTAAAAACACCTTAGATGCTGCAGTCTGCTGGTTCTTGAGACGCAAGTTGGCACTGGCCCTTGCACCGCCACGCATTGTCAAACTCATTCATCTTATTCGAGGTATGTTCTTGTTCATTTATTTTTGTTTTATCAGAATAATATCAAAATCTTTTAATTAATATTTTTTTTTTTTTTTTTTTTTTTTTTTTTTTTTTTAAACAAGTCGGCCGTCTCCCACCGAGGCAGGGTGACCCAAGAAAGAAAGAAAATCCCCAAAAAGAAAATACTTTCATCATCATTCAACACTTTCACCACACTCACACATTATCACTGCTTTTGCAGAGGTGCTCAGAATACAACAGTTTAGAAGCATATACGTATAAAGATACACAACATATCCCTCCAAACTGCCAATATCCCAAACCCCTCCTTTAAAGTGCAGGCATTGTACTTCCCATTTCCAGGACTCAAGTCCGACTATATGAAAATAACCGGTTTCCCTGAATCCCTTCACTAAATATTACCCTGTCACACTCCAACAGATCGTCAGGTCCCAAGTATCATTCGTCTCCATTCACTCCTATCTAACACGCTCATGCACGCTTGCTGGAAGTCCAAGCCCCTTGCCCACAAAACTTCCTTTACCCCCTCTTTCCAACCTTTCGAGGACGACCCTACCCCTCCTTCCTTTCCCTATAGATTTATATGCTTTCCATGTCATTCTACTTTGATCCATTCTCTCTAAATGACCAAACACCTCAACAACCCCTCTTCTGCCCTCTGACTAATGCTTTTATTAACTCCACACCTTCTCCTAATTTCCACACTCCAAATTTTCTGCATAATATTTACACCACACATTGCCCTTGACAGGACATCTCCACTGCCTCCAAACGTCTCCTCGCTGCTGCATTTACCACCCAAGCTTCACATCCATATAAGAGTGTTGGTACTACTTACTTTCATACATTCCCTTCTTTGCCTCCATAGATAACGTTTTTTGACTCCACATATACCTCAACGCACCACTCACCTTTTTCCCTCGTCAATTCTATGATTAATCTCATCTTCATAAACCCATCCGCCGACACGTCAACTCCCAAGTATCTGAAACATTAACTTCTTCCATACTCCTCCTCCCCAATTTGATATCCAATTTTTCTTTATCTAAATCATTTGTAACCCTCATCACCTTACTCTTTTCTATGTTCACTTTCAACTTTCTACCTTTACACACATTCTCAAACTCATCCATTAACCTTTGCAAATTTTTTTTAGAATCTCCCATAAGCCACAGTATCATCAGCAAAAAGTAAACTGTGTCAGTTCCCATTTTGAATTTGATTCCCATAATTTAATCCCACCCCTCTCCCGAACACCCTAGCATTACTTCTTTTACAACCCCATCTATAAATATATTAACAACCATGGTGACATTACACATCCCTGTCTAAGACCTACTTTTACCGGGAAGTATTCTCCCTCTCTTCTACATACCCTAATCTGAGCCTCACTATCCTCATAAAAGCTCTTTACAGCATTTAGTAACTTACCACACTATTCCATATACTTGCAACATCATATGCCTTTTCTAAATCCATAAATGCAATAAAAACTTCCTACCTTATCTAAATTACTGTTCACATATATGCTTCAATGTAAATACTTGATCTACACATCCCCTACCCACTCTGAAGCCTCCTGCTCATCCGCAATCCTACATTCTGTCTTACCTCTAATTCTTTCAATTATAACCCTACTGTATACTTTTCCTGGTATACTCAGTAAACTTATTCCTCTATAATTTTTACAATCTCTTTTGTCCCTTTCCCTTTATATAAAGGGACTTTACATGCTCTCCGCCAATCCCTAGGTACCCTCCCCTCTTTCATACATTTATTAAACAAAAGTACCAACCACTCCAACACTATATCCCCCCTGCTTTTAACATTTCTGTCATGATCCCATCAGTTCCAGCTGCTTTACCCCTTTCATTCTACGTAATGCCTCACGTACCTCCACCACACTTACATTCTGCTCTTCTTCACTCCTAAAAGATGGTATACCTCCCTGGCCAGTGCATGAAATTACCGCCTCCCTTTCTTCCTCAACATTTAAAAGTTCCTCAAAATATTCTCGCCATCTACTAATACTCCCTCTCCCCATCTACTAACTCCCCTACTCTGTTTTTAACTGACAAATCCATACTTTCCCTAGGCTTTCTTAATTGTTTAACTCACTCCAATTTTTTTTTTTTTTTTTTTTTTTTTCATTAAAATTTCTTGACAGTGCCTCTCCCACTCTTTCATCTGCTCTCCTTTTGCACTCTCTCACCACTCTCTTCCCTTTCTTTTACTCTCCATATACTCTGCTCTTCTTATAACACTTCTGCTTTGTAAAAACCTCTCATAAGCTACCTTTTTCTCTTTTATCACACCCTTTACTTCATCATTCCACCAATCGCTCCTCTTTCCTCCTGCCCCCCCTCCTATAACCACAAACTTCTGCCCCACATTCTAATACTGCATTTTTAAACTATTCCAACCCTCTTCAACCCCCCACTACTCATCTTTGCACTAGCCCACCTTTCTGCCAATAGTCGCTTATATCTCGCCCGAACTTCCTCCTCCCTTAGTTTATACACTTTCACCTCCCTCTTACTTGTTGTTGCCACCTTCATCTTTTCCCATCTACCTCTTACTCTAACTGTAGCTACAACTAAATAATGATCTGATATATCAGTTGCCCCCTCTATAAACATGTACATCCTGGAGCCTACCCATCAACCTTTTATCCACCAATACATAATCTAACAAACTACTTTCATTACATGCTACATCATACCTTGTATATTTATTTATCTCTTTTTCATAAAATATGTATTACTTATTACCAAATTTCTTTCTACACATAGCTCAATTAAAGGCTCCCCATTTACATTTACCCCTGGCACCCCAAATTTACCTACTACTCCCTCCATAACATTTTTACCCACTTTAGCATTGAAATCCCCAACCACCATTACTCTCACACTTGATTCAAAGCTCCCCACGCATTCACTCAACATTTCCCAGAATCTCTCTCTCTCCTCTACACTTCTCTCTTCTCCAGGTGCATACACGCTTACTATAACCACTTTTCACATCCAATCTTTATTTTACTCCACATAATCCTTGAATTTATACATTTGTAGTCCCTCTTTTCCTGCCATAGCTTATCCTTCAACATTATTGTTACTCCTTCTTTAGCTCTAACTCTATTTGAAACCCCTTACCTAATCCCATTTATTCCTCTCCATTGAAACTCTCCTACCCCCTTCAGCTTTGTTTCACTTAAAGCCAGGACATCCAGTTTCTTCATTCATAACATCCACAATCATCTCTTTCTTATCATTTGCACAACATCCACGCACATTCAGACTTCCCACTTTGACAATTTTCTTCTTCTTATTCTTTTTAGTAATCTTTACAGGAAAAGGGGTTACTAGCCCATTGTTCCCGGCATTTTAGTTGACTTTTACAACACGCATGGCTTACGGAGGAAAGATTCTTATTCCACTTCCCCATGTATATAAAAGGAAAAGTAATAAGACCAAGAACTATTAAGATAAAATTAAAGAAAACTCAGATGAGTGTGTATAAATAAATATAAATTAATATTTTTAAAATATGAATATGCATTTTTTCTCTCATATTCATTTAAATTTAGATAATTATTAGAGCTTTGCTTTAATCTCTAATTTCAGATGCACTCTTTGTAGACCCACCCGCAGATCGAACAGAAGCAGATCGTAGGGCTAGAGAAAATGAATTGCGACAGGAACTGATGGCCTTGATACCCCCTTGGCTGCAGCATCTTCTTTTCACTCCAGATCTTTACACTGAGGGAGCTAATACACTTGTCAGCCTTTTTCAACAACCTGTCCTCAACAAGCAGGTCAGACTTTATTTTAAGTTTTGTAGTTCACCATGGTGGTGGATGAACATAATATGTATTTTACAACACTGATTTTACAGGATTAGATTGGTAGGTTAATGAGGACTAGAGCCCACTGACTATACGACGGTCATTATGGCTGCCACTGTTATCTATATCAACTCATTTCATAGTGCATTACTGTCAGAGGTATACTTTCACACCCCTGATGTGACCCACAACACCAGACTTAAACCTAGTAATCTATTTATTGCTATGTGAACAGGGGCAACAGGTGTAAGGAGACTTGCCCATATTTATTTATTTATTTATTTAGAAATTTAAGCATACATACAGAGGTACAAAAAAAAAATACAGGTAAGAGCAGCATGCCAAAGCCACTTATATGCATAGCATTACGGGCTGGCTTAAAATTAACTTAAGATTAACTAAGCAATGATGAAATCAGTGATAAGACATTATTGTAAACAGATAACTATAAAGCACACTTTAGTTGCAATTGTTCGTGGTGTCCACTATTTAAAAAAAAAATTGGAATGGTAGAGAATATTTTTCTGAAGGTAATGACACCAAAGGTAAGTCATTTGATGAAAAACTTATGGAGTTATGCAGGTGTAAAGTAAACAGCCATTGTGCAGTTCACACATAAGCGAGTTCCCCAATTTAAGTACTCTTTTAAGGCAATTTCATTTTTCCATTCAACCAAATTCTTTGCTATTTCACTAGTATTCCTTCTGTTCTGTCAGTTGAGTACAAGAAACTGCCCATTCAACTATTACAACTACAGTGGACCCCCGCATAACGGACGCCTTGCATAGCGGACAATCCGCATAGCGGACGCTTTGATCGCTAAAATTTTGCCCCGCATAGCGCCCAAAAACCCGCTCAGCGGCCTTCGTCCGAGACGCGTCCAATGTGCGGCCTGAGCCACGCTCACATGTTCCGCGGGTGGCATTGTTTACCAGCCAGCCTCCGCGGTAACATCCAAGCATACAATCGGAACATTTTGTATTATTACAGTGTTTTTGGTGATTTTTTTCTGGAAAATAAGTGACCATGGGCCCCAAGAAAGCTTCTAGTGCCAACCCTACAGCAATAAGGGTGAGAATTACTATGGAGATGAAGAAAAAGATCATTGATAAGTATGAAAGTGGAGTGCGTGTCTCCGAGCTGGCCAGGTTGTATAATAAACCCCAATCAACCATCGCTACTATTGGTGGTACAGCTGCTGCTGCTGCTGTATCACCGTCAGCTGCTGCTGCACTGTCAGCTGCTGCTGATGTACCACCGTCAGCTGCTCCTGCTGCTGTAGTACCATCTGCTGCTTCTGTAGCATCATCTGCTGCTGCTGTAGCATCGTCTGCTGCTGCTGTAGCATCGTCTGTTGCTGCTGTAGCATCGTCTGTTGCTGCTGTACCACCGTCAGCTGCTGCTGCTGCTGTAGCATCGTCTGCTGCTGCTGCTGCTGTAGCATCGTCTGCTGCCGCTGTAACATCGTCAGTTGCTGCTGTAGCATCGTCTGCTGCTGCTGTAGCATCGTCTGTTGCTGCTGTAGCATCGTCTGCTGCTGCTGCTGCTGCTGTAGCATCATCTGCTGCTGCTGTAACATCGTCAGCTGCTGCTGCTGCTGCTGTAGCACAGTTGTTGGTGTGGCTTATTGAGAATACCAAGAAACAATTAACCCCAGAGGATTTGCCACCCAGGATAGCCCAAAAAAGTCAGTGTCATCGAAGACTGTCTAACTTATTTCCATTGGGGTCCTTAATCTTGTCTCCCAGGATGCAACCCACACCAGTTGACTAACACCCAGGTGAACAGGGAAAATGCCTGGAACTAGTGCTCATATTGGTGAATTTAGAGCCAGCAAATGTTGGTTTGAGAGATTTAAGAATCGTAGTGACATACACAGTGTGATAAGGCCTGTTCTGGAAGAAAATACCAAACAGGACCTACAGTACTCAGGAGGAAAAGGCACTCCCAGGACACAGTGTCTCATCAGTCATTGCTGCATCTTCAATAAAGGTAAGTGTCATTTATTCTTCATTTAGTAGAGTAGTACATGCACAATATATATTGTGCATGTACTACTCTACTATTGTGCATGTATCCTTCTTTTTGTGTGTAGGAAAATGTATATTTCATGTGGTAAAATTTTTTTTTTCAAACTTTTGGGTGTCTTGCACGGATTAATTTGATTTCCATTATTTCTTATGGGGAAAATTCATTCACATAGCGAACATTTCGCATAACAGCCAGCCCTCTTGCACGGATTAAGGTCGCTATGCGGGGGTCCACTGTACTCATAAAGTTGGTAATTTGGCCAGTTTTACTCAAAATTAAAAAAAAATACTATTTTAATAATTTTATTTTTTTTATTAACACATTAATACATTGCAGAGTCACTTGTTTGCACAGAACTGCTTAATGCCTCAAATGATGTAGTGGAAGTTTTAGCAGTAAAGGTCGAGAACCAAAACCTAGTCATTGTGGTAGTCTACAAGCCTCCGGATGCAACTTCCCAGCAATTCCAGGAACAGCTGTTAAAAATTGACCACTGTCTGGAAAATCTTCCAGCTCCTGCACCCAACATCTTGCTCCTGGGGGATTTCAACTTAAGGCACCTAAAATGGAGGAATATAGCAAATAATATTGTTGCAGTAATAACACCAGGAGGCAGCTCTGATGAAAACTCACACTCACACGAGCATTTAAATCTCTGCACAAAATTCAATTTAAACCAGCAAATAATAGAGCCTACTAGACTGGAGAATACACTAGACCTCATCTTCACTAACAATGATGATCTGATAAGAAATGTCACCATATCAAAAACAATATACTCAGATCACAACATAATTGAGGTTCAGACATGTATGCGTGGAGCCCCAGACCGACAAAATGAGACTAGTCACGAGGGAGCATTCACCAAATTCAACTTCAATAACAAAAACATAAAGTGGGACCAAGTAAACCAAGTCCTAACCGATATAAGCTGGGAAGATATACTAAGCAACACAGACCCCAACTTATGCCTAGAACAGATTAACTCGGTGGCACTCGATGTATGCACAAGGCTTATTCCTCTAAGAAAAAGGAGGAGTAGATGTAAAATAGAAAGAGACAGGCGCTCCCTTTACAGGCGACGGAAAAAAATAACAGAGCGGCTAAAAGAGGTCAATATATCTGAAATGCGTAGGGAGACACTGGTCAGAGAAATAGCAAGCATGGAACTTAAGCTAAAGAATCCTTTAGGAGTCAGGAATCGCGGGAAGAACTAAAAGCCATAAATGAAATCGAAAGAAACCCAAAGTATTTCTTCTCCTATGCCAAATCAAAATCGAGAACAACGTCCAGTATTGGGCCCCTACTCAAACAAGATGGGTCCTACACAGATGACAGCAAGGAAATGAGTGAGCTACTCAAGTCCTAATATGACTCAGTTTTTAGCAAGCCGCTAACCAGACTGAGAGTCGAAGATCAAAATGAATTTTTTATGAGAGAGCCACAAAATTTGATTAACACAAGCCTATCCGATGTTATCCTGATGCCAAATGACTTCGAACAGGCGATAAATGACATGCCCATGCACTCTGCCCCAGGGCCAGACTCATGGAACTCTGTGTTCATCAAGAACTGCAAGAAGCCCCTATCACGAGCCTTTTCCATCTTATGGAGAGGGAGCATGGACACGGGGGTCGTCCCACAGTTACTAAAAACAACAGACATAGCCCCACTCCACAAAGGGGGCAGTTAAAGCAACAGCAAAGAACTACAGACCAATAGCACTAACATCCCATATCATAAAAATCTTTGAAAGGGTCCTAAGAAGCAAGATCACCACCCATCTAGAAACCCATCAGTTACACAACCCAGGGCAACATGGGTTTAGAACAGGTCGCTCCTGTCTGTCTCAACTATTGGATCACTACGACAAGGTCCTAAATGCACTAGAAGACAAAAAGAATGCAGATGTAATATATACAGACTTTGCAAAAGCCTTCGACAAGTGTGACCATGGCGTAATAGCGCACAAAATGCGTGCTAAAGGAATAACAGGAAAAGTCGGTCGATGGATCTATAATTTCCTCACTAACAGAACACAGAGAGAGTAGTCGTCAACAGAGTAAAGTCCGAGGCAGCTACGGTGAAAAGCTCTGTTCCACAAGGCACAGTACTCGCTCCCATCTTGTTCCTCATCCTCATATCCGACATAGACAAGGATGTCAGCCACAGCACCGTGTCTTCCTTTGCAGATGACTCCCGAATCTGCATGCAGTGTCTTCCATTGCAGACACTGCAAGGCTCCAGACGGACATCAACCAAATCTTTCAGTGGGCTGCAGAAAACAATATGAAGTTCAACGATGAGAAATTTCAATTACTCAGATATGGTAAACATGAGGAAATTAAATCTTCATCAGAGTACAAAACAAATTCTGGCCACAAAATAGAGCAAAACACCAACGTCAAAGACCTGGGAGTGATCATGTCGGAGGATCTCACCTTCAAGGACCATAACATTGTATCAATCGCATCTGCTAGAAAAATGACAGGATGGATAATGAGAACCTTCAAAACTAGGGAGGCCAAGCCCATGATGACACTCTTCAGGTCACTTGTTCTATCTAGGCTGGAATATTGCTGCACACTAACAGCACCTTTCAAGGCAGGTGAAATTGCCGACCTAGAAAATGTACAGAGAACTTTCACGGCGCGCATAACGGAGATAAAACACCTCGATTACTGGGACCGCTTGAGGTTCCTAAACCTGTATTCCCTGGAATGCAGGAGGGAGAGATACATGATTATATACACCTGGAAAATCCTAAGAGGGACTAGTACCGAACTTGCACACGAAAATCACTCACTACGAAAGCAAAAGACTTGGCAGACGATGCACCATCCCCCCAATGAAAAGCAGGGGTGTCACTAGCACGTTAAAAGACCATACAATAAGTGTCAGGGGCCCGAGACTGTTCAACTGCCTCCCAGCACACATAA